GACCCACTTCCGCCCGCGCCCGGCCCGCGGCCTCGCCCCCTCGGCGCTCCCGGGGAAGCTGCCCGGCCGGGGAGGCGGCCTGCTAGCGCCAAGGATGCTTGAGGTCGCCACGCTTGCGGGTAGGGCTCAGAGGGCCCCGACGCGCAGCTCGTCCTCAAGTGCAGTACTGTGCTTGAAAGGACCCTAAACGTTTTCCTGGTCCTTACTGTGCACTCCTCGCGGCTTGGGCTTCGTTATCCCGTGGCCCCCATCCTGGCCCTGCCCCAGACTGCAAGTCCATTTTACAGATAAGGCAATAGAGGTGGTCAAACTCCCCCAAGATTATACGCCTGCGAGGGGATTCAGGCCAGGGCTGGCAGCCTCCGGAGTGCAGACTTTGTCACGAGCGTCACGCAGCAGTGATAAGGAAGCTTCCAGGCTCCTGGCTTTCCTTGCACTATGCACCAGGCGTTGTGCCAGAAGGTTTACCTGCGCTCGCTGTTTTCGAGCTGTTAAGGATCTCCTGGCACAGACTGCCAGGGGAAGCATCGAATCTCTTCACCACTCAAAAACCGGGGCCAGCCCTAAGCAGTGGCCGAGGGCAGCTCAGAGACGGGGTAGTCTATCCCCAAACATTCTCCTGGGGGAGTACAGTGCTTTTGTCAACTAGGATGAGCCCTGTGGAGACAAAACAGTGGAGCTCAGGTTAAGGAGGCTGTGACTGTAAGGTTTTGTTAGTAGGAGGCATCTCTCCCAAAAGTCAAGCTGAGGTAAGGAGCAACTGTAGCGACAGCATCCGGGCGACAGTCACTGGATTTCACATCTTTTATGCCTTATTCCCTGCTACAAACAGCTCGGTGTGATACTCGCCACACAAAAACCAAGAAGACACACAGGGCCGCAGTTATTCTGACTCTAGTCTTCCTCCTGTGAAAGGGCTGGAGAATTCATATTCTAAGGATGTGAAGGATGGAATTTCTCTTTCATACCTAATTGTGTTTCTGGAAGACTGCCAGTTTTCCAGACAGACATCTGAGGATCTGAGTATTCATTGACTTCCCTTCTGCATGGGAAGGTGGGAAAGAAAAATAAATTAGGAATAAAAAACCTGAAAAGTCTGCCTGCATGTCTGCAGTCCTGAGAGGGCAGTCTCCTTACTCACTCATTTTGAATAAACTGCAATCACTCCCTTCATATGTAAGTAGCAGGGGCCAAATACTGCCTTTCCGTTGTACACATGAACTAGCACATTTTGAATTTATGTGAAGTTTAAAGGGCAGCATCCTGTTCTTTTCTCTAGAAAAGATCTTACATTAGCTCCAATCGTATGTTGGGCCTTGCCAAATGCTGCCCTAAAAGAAGGTAAATTAAGTACTGATTGATAAATCATGCAGTTTCTATGATGTATTCCCTTCATATTGTGTCTTTAAAAAAAAAGACAAAGCTGTTTTCTTGAAACAGAAGGAAGTTAAGGGTAACTCCCTAAAAGCTACTTCCTGGAAAAGAAATATATAATGGTTTAGTCCTGGGATAGGGTTTGAGGTCATTTGCCCAATTCCCATATCCCTGTAGCTTACGTATTAGCAAAGTAAAACCAGTGCTCAGGGAGGGAAGGTGATGTGACTGATCAGTAGCTAGGACAGCCAACTCCCCAAGTACTCTGCACATTCCACTGCTCAGCCCTTAGGTCACTATTTCAAGACCCCATGATGATTATAGAACAGAATGTTTATTGTGGTTTAGATTTACTTTTTCTTTCAATTTTGCACTGTGGAGCAGATTTTTTTTTTTTTAAACTAGTCCAAACATTTGCAAGATTGGAGGTCTCAGTTTGGAAATCTCAGTTTCCTCAGATTCGAGCCAGGTTGTTTATGACCCTTAACGTTGCAGATCATCACTTTAGTCATAATTCAGCATGGCATCTTACTCAAAAGTTAACAAAATTACTTCCCAGGAATTATAGGCATGCATCAGTGTGTTCAGCTAGATTCTTTTTTCTTAAAGGCATTGTCATAAACTCTTTTTTTTTTTAAATCTCACTAGCCCCTGATAGAACATTCCTGCTAAAAGATATGAGCAACTAGAAGCTTAATTTATGGAGTGTATGATTCAGCACATGGGAACATGGGGAGGATGCATGCAGGGGACAGGAGCGGAGTTGAGGTTTGTCCCTTCAAGTAAATGCGCACGTTCTCCATAACTTCCACCAGTGCACTCTCCAAGATGCCCCTGTGGAACGCTATGGGCTGCATCATACCAACTGCTAATCCTTGGTGTTACTCACAACGTTCACATGTGGGTTGGGTTTCCCCCCTATTTTCTTTTCTTCTTTCCAGAAACTGGTTTGGCTTGAATAATTTAATAAGGTGATGCTTACTAGTTGATCCTTTTATTCTTTAGAAAAACTGGAATCAGTCAAATCCAAATAAATGGGGGAAACATAAACAAAGAATGCCACTGTTGGTGAAAGATTTAGGTCACAGGGTCCCGCCCCCATGCCTTTTGGGGGGATTCAGGGCTTTTTAGTGGAGGCAGCAAGGAGACACCACCCCTGAAGGCTCATTGCAAAGGCATGCAACTACATTGTCCCCTAGTGGTTGAAATGCATAAATGCCAGAAGAGACCTAATTGTTGAGACTCCTTGTAAAAAAAAATGTACAGCATTCCTTTGGGTAAAGAAGCACTTTAAAAAGTTCTCTAGAATCCAAACACTCTTCCCAGGCACTAGTTCTAAGACAAGCAAGATATGGTTCCTGTCTTCAAGAAACCCACCGTCACTGAAGGAAACACACTCTACCCTGTCATTTCAATATGATACATGATTGGGACAGGTAAAAATGATATACGTATGCCTTAGACATTTTATTTTTGCTTAAAATGCATACACTTAACTAAGAATTTGATATGGGGCCGAGGGCTTCTATCGTGTTATGGGTCCACTGATGGGAGTTCCACAAATCACTTTCATTATATATTTCAACAGTTTTCAGCTCCAAGTTTTATAAAGTAGAATTAGAGATTACAGGCACATAAGAAACAATCTGAGAAACAGTCTTGTCTTGCCTACAACTAATCTAACAGTACATTTTCTAGCAGTTTATCTTTCCAAAGTATCTCTCCATTTTGTAGAAATCAATTCTTTTTACACTCATGTTATTCATTTAAGTCACATCTAATTAAGACAGCTGCCACACTAGAAAGTAATTGGAATAAATAACTAGAGAACAAATAACGAATTTCAGCAAAACTCCAGCTTAGGTACATAAGTGTGTGGACGTCTCAGTGCATCTGACTGTTGAACATCCGGTTTGTGGTAGATGTCAATCCTTATTTTTTTCCTAGAAGAAATGGAGAGTGTAGACTGAACTGAACAGTCACTTACAACAAAGGGTGTCATGGGAGCCCAAAGGAGGGACATCTAGTTCCACTTTGAGACGATAAAGGGTGGAGACCAGTGTCAGGGTTTTCTTGGAGAAGATAATGCCTGAACTGAGACTTGAAAAACTGGTAGGGTTTGGTGAGCACTCTCCCTCTCCAAAGTGGATGCTGTGAAAATTTAAAAATTTAAAGGCAGAGAGATGCATGAAATAATATGGTATGCTCAGAAAATTATAAGTATCTATATTGCTGATTTCGGGAGACACAAGAGCAGGGAAGGCTGTAATTGAGGACATCCCCCAGTACAATCAGGCAGCAACGTGACTTTGCATGTTCTCCTCTTCATACCCATCGCAGAGTGCTAGGTATGTGGCTGGTTTTCAGGGGAATTATGGGACACTTCTCAGGTCCAAGGGTAGAAGTCGCTGTCCTGAGAGGTCCATGGTCTGGTGAGTGAAATGGATTTATACAGAAATGATTCCAAGGAAATGTCTGAAGTGCTGCAGTAAACAGATGCTGGGAGTAATACGGAAAGTACCAGAACAAAAACCAGGGGCAGTGACTGCTGAACTGTGATGAAATTCTGATGGGGTTGATCTTTAACCTGAGTTTTTCAGGATAAAAAGCAGCCTGACAAGAGGTTAAACTGTCACCCTGCTCACCAGTGGCTAAGGCTGCCTGGGCTGATGTCTCTGGGTACAGTAAGTATTTACTTCCTACCCAGATATTTCCATGTCTCCTTTCTCAAGTGCCTCAGACCATCACGAAAGACTCAGGTACAGTCCCCAGACGAAGACCAGTAAGAGCCAGACCTTATACCAGCAGCACTGACCCTGTCACTCGGAGACTGCCTAGGAGGAAAAGTCCACACTAGTACCAAAAGTCATTCTCTTCCACTCATTTTTTGGGGTGGAATCCACTAAAAATTTTTTATCTAGATCTTTGAGTTAGTCTAAAAAGAAGTGTATTTATAATGTACATACACATTATCTAAAGTAGAAACAATTAGGTATTTATGGAAATTCACTCCATACTTCAACAAACATCAGTAAAAATAAGAGTTATTAATATCAGGCACATTAATAACTGATAACTAATTTAGAAGATACTTAGCAAAGTGACAGAAAACCCGTGTCACTAAGAAGTTTAAATCATTAGAAAAATATCCAACTAAACTTGCATTATTACCTATAACACATTTAATTTATTAGAAAAATATCAAGCTTAAATTTTAAGTCTAAACTTAACTAGACTTTAAGAATTA